CGATTTTTTTGGGAAAGAAATTATAGAAATTAATACTTTTATTTAGCACGGATGCTTAAAATTGATCAAAAGTGATGATAAAGGCATTTATAATGTTACAAAAGATTTCTATTTCAGATAAATAGTGTTCATATCGATATCGGAATTATATCGTATCGACCGAAATTAAGAAATATATCGTGATATCAATTTTGGCCATATCGTCCAGCCCTACTCAAAGGTCAGGTGGTACTGCTTGCTACATTGCTCTTCCTGCTATTACAGTGCTAACCAAGATTTAGGGCTGTCGAGATTCGTCGATTTTATTAGACTATTCGATTTTTTAAAATCCTCGACTTCATTTTGCTCGCGTCAACTAACCGGCAAAATACCGGAAGTGGCGCATTTCACGGATGAGAATCCATAAAACACATTATACTGTTTCTCAAGGCTGCATGGTATATTAAACCCATTTAAAAATCATAATTAAGCATAATTGTGAATTCACAAACGCTACGATTTAATTAATTATATGCAATGCTGTTCTAATACAGTATATGCGCTTTAATTATTTACATGCGTGTAGGTTAAGTACATGCGTCACACAGCGGCTCCGTTCTCAGTAGTTCCACAGGAACTGTTATCATTTACATGTGTAGAGCGGCTCAAACGCCATCTCTGCATGTTGTTGTGAGTTTGGGTTTATTATAACGTTCATCTGGGAACGCAACATGCGCCATTTCATCAGATTTGTAAGGTAAATCATTTATAAATCTATGCAAACACAGGAGAATACATTGCGGTTTCAAAATAAAAGCTCAAACCCTCACCCCGACTTTACACGTTTTGATGTCCACATATTCTTTTAATTACAGTGGCTATAGCATTTCTGTCCTAAAGAAATGGCCAAATATTAAAGATTAAGTGGACATTTGAATGAAATGGTGCTTGGTCAATATCAAACAAGGATTAGATCGCACAGTAATGTGTAAAAATAATCATCAGGCCGTTGGCACCCTCTGCAGGCCTTTGTTGTAATGCACAATGTACATTAGCTCTATTGTTTATAATACATTATGTATTTGAACAGTTTTGTTCAATAAAACCATATGATTTCTTGCTTTTGATACTTTATTTGAACTAATTATTATTTCCTCATTGCTATTATATATGTATTTTAAGTAATTTTAAAGGCTATTGTTCACTTACATCTATTTTTATTACCACAAAAAAATTTATTATAATTATAGGGCCCTATGAAATCCGTTTTATTTCCAAATTCAGTTTTGTTCCATTTTCATTTTTGTGGTTAAATGGTTCAATTAAATTGTATTAATCAAAAAGCCTGTCTAATTAATTGAGTTTTACAGTTTTATCTGTACCAAATTCTGTTTTCCATTATTTTCTGGATTCCATTTTAATGGTACCATTCAATTTTAATAATCAAAAGCATCTCCAATTAATTAATTTTATATAAAAAATGTTTTTGTCATTCTTACACTATAATACTGAAATTTGATTTAAGTGATTTGGACTATGAGATGGATGCACTTTACTTTTGCTTTAAAAAAAGGATTTCATAGAAATTTGGATTTCATTTGGTTTAATAAAATATAGTTTAATAAAATATTCTTAAGTAAAATTTAGATTTTTTTTATTTTTATTTGCAGGAAATTAATCGTTTAGATTAATCGATAAATGAGTCGATAGATTAATCTAAATAAAAATAGTAATTAGTGGCAGCCCTACCAAGATTCAAACTTGTTTTTTGGTGTTTTTCTCAGGGGCATCGAATGTGTCTGTCTTTGGAAGCGGCCATCACTGCCGAGGAGCAGAGAAGCACTAAAAACACTCCATTCTTTCCCATCATTATCGGCAGGTGAGGATTAAAATCTGTCAGCAGAGCTAAAAACCCTCTTGGTTGAGATGAAAATCATGCATGAAGTTCATCTCTCATTCACCATCTTATTCTTCACCAGGAGAGCCACCAATCCAGCGTTTTCAGCTTCTCAGCCTCCGTGTTCGTCTGAGTCTTGCCCAGCAGCACCTGCAGAGGTGGCTCAGGTGTGCCTCAGTCCGCCCCAGCCCCCCCACATCACGCCATCAGTACGTCATGCATGCACATTAACCCAAAGGATTTTATATGGGATTTCAGAGTGCGTCCCACTTTAAAATGAAATGTTTCATTCAGTATCTTATGTCTTTCCCTCTAGATGATTTCCTATGCGGGATCGGACTTCACCACAGCTAGTGTGGCTAAAGGCAGCTCACCCCAATCAGGCAAAGATGAACGCACAGTTAACTCAGGAAAGGTGCTCAAGTCCATTTTTGTGCCTAACGTTGGCTGGGCCTCTCAGGTAAAGTGTTTGACTGGATAGTTTAGAAAGATTTCTTTTTTTTAATTGTTATTTTTAGTTAAATAATTCTAGTTAATAATGAGTGCGTGTAATATATATGTGACCCTGGACCACAAAACCAGTCATAAGGGTCAATTTTTTTTAAATTGAGATGTATACATCATCTGAAAGATGAATAAATAAGCTTTCCATTGATGTATAGTTTGTTATGATAGGACAATATTTGATCGAGATACAACTATTTGACAATCTGGAATCTGAGGGTGCAAAAAAATCAAAATACTGAGAAAATCTCCTTTAAAGTTGTCCAAATGAAGTCCTTAGCAATGCATATTACTAATCAAAAATTACGTTTTGATATATTTACAAACTATCTTTACTTAATATCCTAATGATGTTTGGCATAAAACAACGATCGATAATTTTGTGTATTGTACAAAATGTAATGTATTGTTGGCAATTGCTACAAATATACCCATGCTACTTATGACTGATTTTATGGTCCAGGGTCTCACACACACACACACACACACACACACACACACACATACACTTTTTGAAAACAAGGAACTGTGTGTGCTTATGTATACACTGCTATTTGTTTTCAAAAAGTATCAATTTCTTTTGTACTGTTCACAACCTTTTGAACGGTGTTTTGCATATATGTACAGTATATAAAAAATTACTTATGTTATTATTATTATTTATTAACTTATTGACGTGTTAGTATTTTTTGTTATTTATTATTCATTATCACTTTTTATTTATTATATCTCATTATCTCCGTCAAATACTATAAAAATATTTTTAATGAATTCAATTATATATATATATATGTGTGTGTGTATGTATGTAATAGTAGTAGCATTTAAGTGTTTATTTATTTATATTTTTAGTTAACTACTGGTGAGGTATGGGTTCAGTTTAATGATGGATCCCAGCTGATGGTCCAAGTTGGTGTCTCTTGCATCACTTTTACTTCCCCTGATGGACACATCACCAGGTAAAGCTTGTTATTAAGAAACAAATATTAAACTGCATTTGCAATGTATGGAACGTCATAATCCAATTGCATATCATTTTGTTACTTGCAAAACAAGGCCAAGGACATTTAAAAGACTGTAATTGAGGTCTGTTTTTGATTTGATGTTGTGTTTAAGAATGAATGCTGGCAGAGATACTGTTCTGAATTCTTATGTTTTTTGTTTCTTTGTTTCAGGTATAAAGAGAATGAGAAGTTACCAGAGCTGGTCAAAGAGAAGCTCCACTGTCTCTCCACCATCCTGGGCCTCCTCGCCAGTCCTGCTGTCAGATGCTGATGAGCCCTGAACACAAATAAACCTGTTCATATGATCTGTGCAGCGCTGTCGGAAGCACTTCTGCTTTTTTACGTCTCATTCTCATAAATGTGCTTCGAGTGTTTGTAAATACATTTTTTAAACATTTGTACATATAGTCCCAAAGATTATGAAAATGCTATATTTTTATGTTGTACATAATGGGCTTCCTGTCTTCGTGTTGTGTATTAAGTTTGTGCGTAGTGCCTTTATTTTTGTGTACCAGTTCGACTCGGCACTTCAATGAAATGTTAGCTGTACAAACATACAAGCATTAAAAATCTGCTTCCTGGTGTATTATTGCTTTTTTGTGTCTTCTGTGTTTATTTAAAGCACATGTGGGCAGGATTTATCATACTGTTCAGCTGCTTACTGATAATGACAAAATGCAAACTGACAAGATATCGTAGTCTTTCACTCCAAAATCTAAAGGTAAGAATATATATTCTTATATAAGAATATATATTTTTTAATAAAGATATTTCAGTTTCCTGTTGCAATGCAAAAAAAATCTCATGCACAAAGTATTTTTTTTTTGTAAAAAAGGTACATTTGTGACTCACTTGTAGTTATAATTGTAGTTTAAAAAAAATTCATAATAGTACATTTATTGAGTTTATTATTCTATTTATAAAATAATGTTTAAAAAATAAATACTGTTTAAAAATTTGGGGTCTGTTTTTTTTTCTCTTAAGAATTCTCTCTTATGCTTCCCATAGGCTGCATTTGTTTTTTTAATCAAAAATACAGTAAAATATTGTAATATTCTGAAATATTATTACAATTAAAGTAGCTATTTTCTTTTTAAAAGGCTTTAGTGTCACATGTTCCTTTAGAAATCACTCTAATATGCTAATTTAGTCATCAATAAACATTTCCAGTTATTATAAATGTTGAATATATATATAAATATATATGTATTCAACATTTGTATATTTCCATTTATTATGTTCGAATACTTTAATACAATAAATATATTGTCTAGAGAGGATTTTTGTTACTGTGAATGAGATGAGTTGTAAGTTTTTATACCCAATTTTTTTGTAAGTAATATACCCAACATATCCAGACACCGAAACATAAGAACTTCATCTGTTTTAGGATCTTTTAAGGACATTTTATTATTGTGTATACAATAAATACAACACCTGCTGTTTACAAAGCCTGATTTATAACGGTCAACTTTTTTATAAGACACTTTGAACACATATTTTCCATTTCATTCTCAAAACATAAATCAGCGCAAAAACAACTACACGAGTGACGGTCAGACATGAGCTTCTCACGGAGAGAGACTGCGGTGCACTGGCGCCCCCTTGCGGCATAACTCACAGCGGATAATTCACGAACCTCCTGTCATGCTTGTTCAGGAGGAACATACACACGCGCGCGCGATCCAGACTGAACTGAGCCCAGCCCCACCTCAGGAGGAGGCTGTGCTCGCTCTCTAGGTGTCTGGATTGAGAGCAGACCGCATTCGATCCATCTGATCATCACCAGAGCGCCTTTAATTCGCAGTCTCAGCGACAGACAGACAGCAACACGAGTCATGGAGACCAGACTGCCCTCCAGCTAGCTAACTGCTATCCGACCGGAGCCCGAAAACATGCGCTAGACAGGTATTTACCCTGCTGCATCTGCTCTTTCAGTGTGTCCACAGGGGAGAAAACACGACTTGAAGATTTCTGACATCCATCAGTGAGACTTGCGATGATCTGAATCGGAAAGTAGGTGGAGTGCTAGCTTGCTCGCGCTGCTGTTGAATGGGTCGTTTATGGCGGATTTCACGAGTCCATTCCGGGGTCTCTTAGTATTGCTTTCTGTTTTGAAAAATGAGCAGAATATATATAAAGGGCAGATTCAGCTGTATTTCTATTCTGAAGCAATGGTACAGTGAGAGTAAGACTTAAACCAGAATATAATCATGGGCTGTGTCTTCAATCCTAGTGAGCTGCCTTCCTGGACAGCATTGCTGGGCATCACGGCGCTTTCGAACGATCGGAAAGTTTCAGCTCTCTCTTGAAGCATCGAATCTTCGAATCAGAGTCGACCTGGTCTGTGATTCATCGAATGTTCGAATCTTCAGACTTACAACTTTTCGTCGATTATTCGACTAGAACCTTGTAATTTGATGCATTGATTTATTTTTAGCCTGAAGCTCGAACTCGTCCTTTATGCTTTCAGTGTTCGAACTCGCATAATTAATCCGATGTTCAAATAGAATTTTAAATCCAGGTTGTGAATGGAATTTTTGCAAATGCTTGTTGTGAGTCATTTAAAAAAACAGATGTTTGAACTTGCAAATGCTGCATTGAATGTTTAAAAAGAAAGTCCGAACGTGCATAGCCTATGATTCATGGATGTTGGACTTGAATGTCTGGACTTGCAATGGCAAATTATGAGTAGAATGCTTCAATTTAATGTTTAAACTCTCAGATGATCGAATATGTTTCATTTAAATGCTTAAATCAAATATTTCAAATTCACATAACGATGCATCGTGCTTGAATGAAATCTTAAAAATGAACATCTAATGTTCAAAATGAACTTTAACAACTATAATTAATTTTACATTTCTTTTACAGTTTACATTTGAAATGGGGTATAATGCATTGTATTGTATGATCAAAATGATTTTTTTTAAATTGCATGTGATGATTTTTAAATCAAATTCATCATTCCATTATGTTTTGTATTAAACATGCGTATGATGCATCTAATATTTAAATCAAGCAGATGATCGAATATGTTTCATTTAAATGCTTAAATCAAATATTTCAAATTCACATAACGATGCATCGTGCTTGAATGAAATCTTAAAAATGAACATCTAATGTTCAAAATGAACTTTAACAACTATAATTAATTTTACATTTCTTTTACAGTTTACATTTGAAACGGGGTATAATGCATTGTATTGTATGATCAAAATGATTTTTTTAAATTGCATGTGATGATTTTTAAATCAAATTCATCATTCCATTATGTTTTGTATTAAACATGCGTATGATGCATCTAATATTTAAATCAAACTCGCATGTTATGAATCTAATTTTGAAATCGAAAGTTTTAACTCGCAAATGTTGCAGCAGCTTTTCGAATCATGCTCTGAATTCACCCATGATTCGTTGAAGATTGCATTGAATTTGCATTGAAGTGAAACTTTACACTTGAATATGATGCTTTTGAATGTTCGAATCAAACATTGTGAATTCACATATTGAATCAAATCTTAAAAAGACGGTTCACCCGAACATGAAAATTCTGTCGTCATTTACTCCCCCTCACGTCGTTCCAAGTTTCTTTCCTCTGTTGACCACAAAAGAAGATATTTTGAAGAATGTTGGTAACCAAGCAGTTGACGGTACCCATTGATTTCCATAGTATGGAAAAAGTACTATGGAAGTCAATGGCTACCAGCAACTGAGGTTACCCGCATTCTTCAAAATATCTTCTAATAACACTGGAAAAAAAGATGCATCCACAATTCAAACTGAGCTTTTTTGCACATTTGCATCAGATTTTTGAATGGTTCAGTTGTCTGAAACAGAATATATAGTGCATTGTTTTGCATGATCAAAACAGATTTTTTGAACTTGCCTTTGATGCATCACACTTTTGAATCAAACCTTTGATTCCCATGATGTTTTGAATTTAATGTTTTAATAGAACATTCAAACTTTTATATGACGCATCTGATGTTTAAAATCAGGTTAGCTAGGAAGTTGACTAGGCTTCTTGTCAAAGCCATGGAGATTCACAGCCCAACTTGAGCACTGGTTTTGTACATTTACAAATACATTTGAGCCTGTCTATTGTTCAGTTTTTGCTGCTGTTCATTTAACACTCATGAAGGTTTGTAATTGAAGGTTCTGATAATAATCTCTGTTGGCTTTGGTTCAGCAGGGTTCTATACGAAGACCGTTTCCTGTTTTCACTGGAGTGACACTGCTGTCACATCTGGCCATCAGAAGCTGAAGATGCAGACTTTCCTGAGAGGCAGACGAGTGGGCTACTGGCTCAGCGAGAAGAAGATGAAGAAACTCAATTTCCTGGCCTTTGCAGAGATGTGCAGGTGAGAGTCGACCATAGATCCATCGGCCTGGATCTCATCCTGCATGTGTTTCCATGGAAGAGCACAGCAGGTGCCTGCTGCACTTGTGGTCAGCGGTTCATCTGAAACAGCTGTTTTCTCTGCCTGCTTTTGTTCCAGTATCAGTCTGTTGCCTGACGGATCGGTGGATAGAGTTGTTTGAATTAAAAAGTGTAACGGGCTTGCTCATGCATGGGGATGTTTTCTTCATTGTGCATGTTAGAATGTACTTTGAACTGTGGTTGAGAAAGATCCAGGAAGGTTGTGTAATACAGTGCAGCAGAGAGGTAGGTTAACATAAGATACATATTAAGACACTGTTTTTTGTGGAAGTGTCTCATAAGCAGAAATGGTTGTTTAGGTTGACAGGCTGTGCATCTGATTTAAAGAAGTGTGCAAATTCTGTGACTCGGATGACACTAAATAATATAGCAAAAATAACACATTTTGCAAGTTTTAAATGGGTTGCTCCAAATGGTACTCTTGTCTGCTATTGGTTGGGTAATGGTTACGCTATTGGTTGAGCTAATCTAGACCGGTTAGGCAGGTCGAGTTACTCAAGCAATCAAAACATAAATTGTTGATGAGAGATTTGTTGATATTTTCTAAGCAATCGATTGCATTTTTTCCCCCCATGTGATCAAAAAAAATCTCATAGACTTGCACTGAATTAAAGACTTAGAGCTACACTTATAAAATATTATTAAGAAAAAAATGATTGGTTCCTATTGTTTTCTTTATACTTATCCATTTATAATTTGTATTCATCAAAAATAACATTTGAAAGCTACTTTGTTAAATCCTAAAAGGTAAGATGTTCAATATTTATAATACTTAATTAAATAATACATATTACTACTACACTATTCTCTTCCATGTCAAATTACTGGGTTGCCAGATAGTTACCAGCAAGTAAATTCTCCAATGATGGTTAATATCGATAGATTCACTAAAACTGCAAATGTTGTTAAACTAAACACATTTCACCCACGAATAACCTTTTTAAGGTGTCTCTACTTAAAAATGAATAAATAGATTAATTTATCGTTTAAAACATTATTTAAAAAGTACATGTATTGAATTTGTTGTATTAGAAGGCAACCCCCTGAGCATTCTTAAGAAAATATTTCAGTCCTTATCATTAGTGCTTACGTTTTTTTTTTTTTTTAGGACAAAGCTATATGTAGGTGCCAGAATATCATCTACCACTGAGAACAACTTAGCAACTGAACAGCAATACTCTGGCAACCACTTTCAACAGCCTAACGTTGTCAGCACTGGTGTTGCGCACTTATTCCCCCCCCCCCAGAACATAAAAAAAAAAATATATATATTCTAAAGTTTGATTCATCTGTTTTGTTCCGTTCACATTGCACAATGTCAAGGGTAGTTTTCCAGTTTAAAATATTTGCAGTATTTCCTTAAAGCCTGTGTTTTGTTCTGCTCTGTATGTGTTTTGGCTAAAGCATCTCTGCTATCCAAACTATGATACCCTTGAATGATTTTCCATGGTGCATGTAGGTGACCAGTCTTGGCCTGGTTGTGTTTTAACACTGTGCCAGCACTTTTATTCCCTATGACTTTGCATTCAAGCAGATTGGCTTACTCATCATTGAAGGGCCCTGGATTATTAGCCAGCAGTCAGAGAGAGAGAGAGAGAGAGTGAATGAGTGAGAGCTGGCAGAGCAGAGCACTCTTGGAGGCCATGCACTTGAGTGTTGTGTTTGTATGGGCCGCGTAACCTGAGAAAACCGAACTACTGGTCCGGCAAAGGGTTAAGGTTACACACAGGGCTTTGTGTGTGTTGTAAATGTGTGTGTGGTGTAGTGAAAGATTGTGTGTGTGGTTGCTCGTTGTGCCCCACTGTCACTGTCTCCAGCTGAATGAACAATTGTGTAATGTGTGAAGCCGGGGAATTTCCTCAGTGGCTGTGACTGTGTGAGGAATTGTGTGACTGAGCTGGAGAAAGTGAAGGAAAGCGGGAATACAACAATGCGATCACTGTAAGCGGTCAGCTCTGTCAGCCAGGCAACCAAGAGGGATATGTTTTTGCGTGTTACACTCATTAGTGCCGTTTTAAAGGGAAACTTCACTCAAAAAACGAAAACTCTGTCATCATTTACTCACCCTCATGGCGCTCCAAACTTGTTTGACTTTGAACATTGAAACATTTTTCAAGACTTTTCTCTGCCAATACAATGGCTCCTGCTGTCTAAGTCTTCTGAAGCCATAAATTAGCATTGTGTGAGAAACGGACTACATTTATCTTATTATTTATTGTAAGTCCATATTTCCTATTGGAACAGGAAGTTGAGGCTTTACATTTTCTCTGGTGTTTCTTGTCAAATTAACACATTTTCCGAACTGACAATATGACGTTAAACCTATGAAAATGGTTTTAAAAGTAAATGGCACCATACTTTCATCTCGTTTTCTCTTGTCAGCATTTGACATAGAATGCAACGCATACACTGCCGGACACAAAACAAGCACTTTATAGGAATTTCTTAAGTTTATTGCTGTTACTGTGGCAGCTAACAACAATACCCTGCACACATTTGTATATTTACTTATATTAAAAAGTTTCAGTTAAATTTATTCAGTCCATCTTTTTACCTCATTTTAACATGGATTTCTACAGAGACCGGAACACGTCAGCATCCAGGCAGGAAAAAGGCGGATATGCTTTGGTGACGTCTTAGCTATGGACCATGAGCGTGGTGGAGGGACATTCTCAGAATGAGAACATTTGATTGGGCGGAAATCTGTTTAGTGCAACATGAGTCATCTGCATTTTAGATTTTCAAATACTGCTTCATCATGTGATTTCTGTCAACATTTATAATAATTTTTATCCTCATTAATCTACACACGGTACCCCATAATAACAAAGTAAAAACCAGATTTGGGATAACTTTGCAAATTATAAATAAAATCTGAAATATCACATTGCCATAAGTATTCAGGCCCTTATATCTTTCCCCACCAGCATTTCTCTCTCTTTTTTTTTTAAGATGTATTTTTTGCCTTTTTTGCCTTTATTAGGATAAAACAGATCAGAACTGACAGGAAGCAAAGTGAGAGAGAGATAGGGATTCGAACTCTGGACGCCAGTATTGCAACAGCCACCGCCAGCATTTTTGATCATTTCACAAACTTTCTTGGCCCCCAGTATTTTTGTTGCATGGCTATCTAACATGCAATATGTCAAAAGAAAGAACAAAACCCATTTTATTCTAGCATTCTGTTTTTAACATCAACTGAATGTGGGCAAGTTCCATTAAAAAAAGCAATATTTTGAACAGAAAGCTGAGAAAATTGTGTTTCTGTAAAAGACTACATCCGGATCAGATTCAGATCAATGATCAAAACATATATGCAATAGATCGCTTCTTCAACACCCCCAAAGCTCTCGCACTCCTTTACCACTTCCTGGGTCGGTAACGTTAGGCAGTTTTGATTTATATGCTGTTTGATGATTGTTTGTTTAGATATGCATCTGCTTACAAACGCGATCACGTGTTTCTGCTTCTTCTTTGCCGTTTTTTGATCCAGATATTTAATACTCTTTCCGAATATGTGTAATAGCTCCTTTTACCATATAACAGTGAAAACACGCAAAGCCGGAAAATTCCATCAACCCAGAAATTAAAATTGTCATCATTTAACCTCATGTTGTTCAAGACATTAGTTCATCTTCGAAACACTAGATACTTTTGTTAAAACGTCATCTTTCAATGTCCATCCATTGAAAGTCCATTACACCAAAACTTTAAAACTGTACTTGTTTGATGCGCAAGACGTCAAACCTAATTGATTCTTGCATATCAGCAAGGTGCATTTGAGCTAAGGTTTATCATATTTGATGTACTCTATGTACAGTATCACAGAAAATGTAACAAAATTAAAAATTAAAAACTGTTACTGGGGCAGTAGCCTACCTTTTTTAGAAGGTATAGGTACTAATATCTTTAAGGCACCAATACGGACCCTTTAGGTATATAGCTATACAGATACAGATTTAGCGATATTGCAACCTTGAGTATCTGACGATATTGATGCCAGTTTAAAATATCTATACCTCAATGGATAACTTAAACACAGTTGGTGCAACCGGCCCCTGGATTTGAGGATTTTCTGCCATTCTTTTCTGCAGATCCTCTCAAGCTCTGTCTGGTTAGATGAGGACAGCCGGTTGGCCATTTTCAGGTCTCTTCAGAAATGTTTGATTGGGTTCAAGTCCGGTCTCTGGCTGGGCCACTCAAGGACTTTCAAGTTTTTGACTAAATCAAGTCACTGCAAGTCTGAATGTCACTCGAATATGTTGGTGACCATATGAGCGTGTCAATCACACAAGCACAGATTAAAAATATTTTGGGGATTAAAATGTTAATCCTTTTGGAACCTCTTCAAACAAATTACTAGAGCTGTCTGGAGTCAATCTGAGTTGAGGGGAGATCTGTTCGGATGTTCTAAGTCCTGTCACAGCCTTATATATTTGGACACTAACTGTATTATTTTCAGGACAGGCTTTCTTTAGGGCTGTCGTGTTGTTTATCATGTTTCGGAAATGTTACATGATTGTGCACTAGTCTTCTGTGAGCTCTAATCTAGATTTCCCTAGAGATCCATTTGGCGTTGATGATCTTCCAGTGACATTCATGACAGTGACAGACCGAAAAATAATTTAAAGATTTAAAGAAATGCTTCACCCAACAAGAAAAATAATCTTTAATTTACAAAAGTAGACAGCTTATTCCTCTTCGTTCCTTTTATTCCTCTTTTGTTTTGTTGACAGGCATGTTGCTGTTTTTTTTCCCCAGCTTTTTTTTCCCCTTTCGTAAAAGGTATTAGTAATAGCTATTGTTTTACTTTCTCTGAAGATAAATGTGAGTTGTACTTGCCACCCTGATGATGCAAGTTTTGTGAATGTTTGCTGTAATGTTGCTATGTGGTTGATGAGTTTTAAAGGGATAGTTTAC